ACAAGCTCAAATAACCTTCTGAAGAAAACTGCAGAATATATAAACCACTGTACTTGCCTACAATACTTTTAACTAGCTGCTGTGTGGCAGCCATTCGAGGTTTTGGTGTGTCCAGTTTCTCACATTCATGGTCTGACTGATGCCGATGCCTGTAAACAACAGTGCAAAACTTTTAGTACTTTTTTCATACACTAATGAATGAGTATTGGTTTTTAAACACTCTGTTCTGCTTACCTTAGACAAAAATGTTTTTCACAGTAAGGACATAAAAGTGGCAAAAGCTCCTTTCCATTACAGTCCTTGTACGAGCATGGGTAAGATCTGTGCTGATCTGGTTTCACAGAATTGTTTCTTATATTCACCTAGGTATTAGTGCAAAATATTTTGTGTAAATAAACAGATATTACAGATAAAAGTCACCATCCCAGCTTTCCGAAAGAACCGTGCTAGCTCTCCATTCTGTGGGCAAAATTAGTCCAGCAATTCTCTCCTACTTTTGTCCTGGTTAAGTTTAGCTCACAGTTAGAAAAAGAACCATCATCCTAATCAAACTCAGTTTACTTCTGACAGACAGAAAAAGAATAGATTCATTGTTTTTAAGCTTGTCACATTCTCAATGAGACATTATATATTTCATACTTATACACTGTATGTATATATCTTATCTGGAAATAGTTAAATTATACAGAATTTTAATTTTAAGGTAGTCATATATTATTACATTACCTCAGAACACCCATGAGCATCCCGGCTTCTGTGCTGAAGGCTTTGTGGCAAAAGAAAATATCACAACGTTATCTACATTTCAGTAAAAGAAAACTGCATGTGAAAACATTTAAGTGTTTAAAGAATGATCTGACAAGTTTTGTCATGGCAACACTTCAATTAAATAACGAATCTTCTCCAAAAATTGTTTTAACCTATGCACTAGGGACTGTAGTGATAGGACAAGGGGTAATGGGTTAAAACTTAAACAAGGGAAGTTTAGATCAGATATAAGGAGGAAATTCTTTCCTGTTAGGGTGGTGAGGCGCTGGAATAGGTTGCCCAGGGAGGTTGTGAATGCTCCATCCCTGGCAGTGTTCAAGGCCATGTTGGACGAGGCCTTGGGTAATATGGTTTAGAGCGAGGTGTCCCTGCCCATGGCAGGGGGGTTGGAACTTGATGATCTTAAGGCCCTTTCCAACCTTAACTATTCTATGATTCTATGATCATATTCTTCCTAAGTAAAACATTTAGCTCTTGGAACCTATGGCCCAAGATACAGAACAGAATCACAGAATCATAGAATCGTAGAATAGTTAGGGTTGGAAAGGACCACCATTTAGTTCCAATGCCCCTGCTTAAGAATTCAGCTCAAAGCAACTGGAGTTTGTTTTAATGGCTTTTGAATCACCTCACACAGCAACAGAAATCCCTTGAAGGCTTCTGACATTAAAAGGGAAATCTGCCTGTAGTTGATCTGACTTGATCTCAGCTGGCTTCTGCTAATCTGAAGTGTAAATCAAAGTGTAAGCCCTGATTTGAACCTTGGAAGAAACTTTGTCTTTTCCCCCTACAAGAATACCCTGCTCCCTCCACCAAAAACAAATCAGTACAAAACAGGGCCTAAATTAGATGCTTTCCAAAATAATCTACCTGTATGCTAAGGATAATCCTACTGATTTCAAAGATCCATAACGGCAGCTCGGGAAGAAAGTGGCAACTTCAAAGAAGCAACTACTTTTAACTAAATGTATCTGAATCGAGTCACAGAACCTTTTATATAACACTTAGGTCTGCGCAACTGCCACACTGAAATCTTACAGGAAAACTAACTTAATTTCCTTTTATGACAAGTTCACCTGCCTAATTGACCTAGGGAAGCCAGCAGACGTGGCGGGTGGGTTTAGACTTTAGCGAACTGTCTCTCACAGTATCCTTCTGGTCAAAATATCCAGCACACAGCTAGACAAGTTCATAGTGTGATGGCTGAGCAACAGGTGATCAGGTCAGGCTTAAAGAGTTAATAGTAAATGGGTTTACATCAGGCTGGCAGCCAGTCACCACTGGGTTCTCCAGGGTTCAATTTTAGAGCCAGTGCTCTTTAAGATTTACATAAATTATCTGGTCGCAAGAACCAAATGTACATTAAGTCAGCTTGTTGATGATACTAAACTAGGAGGAGCTGTTGACTGCCTCATGGGTAGAGAGGCATTACAGAGAGATCTGGATAGACTAGAGAGTTGAGCAGTCACCAACCATATGAAACTTAACAAGAGCAAGTGCCAGATTCTCCACCTGGTATGAGGTAATCCTGGTTATACATACAATCGGGGGGAAAAGAGGATGGAGTGCAGATCTGGGGTGGTGGTTGATGGCAAATTGAGTATGAGTCAACAGTGTGCCATGGAAGCCAAAAGGGCCAAGTGTGCCCTGGAGTACATCAAGCAGAGCATAGCTAGAGTTGAGGGAGGCAACTGTACCCCTCTGCACTGCACTGCTGTAGCCTCTCCTCAAGTACTGTGTGCAGTTTTGGGTGCCTCAATATATGGACATGAAAGCATTACAATGTGTCCCAAGGTTGGTGACTAAGATGGTGAAAGGCCTTGAGGGCAAGATGCATGAGGAGTGGCTGAGGTCACCTGGGTTGTTCAGCTTAGAGAAGACGGAGGGGTGAACCCATTGTGGTCTGTAACGTCCCCAAGGCGGGCAGTGGAAGGGGAAGTGCTGATCTCTTCTCCTGGGTGATCAGCAAAAGGACACGAGGAAATGGAATGAAACTGTGTCAGACTGGGCATTACAAAAAGGTTCTCCACTGAGGGGGAACCTCCCTCTCAGAACACACTCCCCAGGGAAGCAGTCACAGAACTGAGCCTGTCAAGAGTACAAGGAATGTCTGGATAATACTCTTAGTCATATGGTTTAGTTCTGCAAGGCGCAGGGAGTTGGACTCAGTAATCCTTTGAGGCCCCTTCTAATTTGAGATACTCTATGATTCTATGAACTTACCAAAAGATGCCTGAACAGCCATCACATACAAAGGGGAGAAAATCTGTAACAAAGAGTTTTGTTTTCACTTAGACATTGATTTAGTCATTGATTTAGTAATACTTTCTAGCTTAATTTTTACATGATTAACTTTTGCTTACCTGTATCATGAAGTAGGTATCTCTACAAGGGCACTTACCAACTGCATCTGCACAGTACCCAGAAGTGGCTTTTTTAACACAGTTACACTAACTCCGCTAGTTAGTATTACTGAAAAACTTATAAGTAAATTATATATTCCAGAAGCTGGAATTATGCTTTAAAAATTGGGGGTGGGGTGTCAATATAAAAATCTGAAACCTGTGGCTAGCCATCAAATTTAACAGTTTTGCTAAAAAAAATAATTTATTCCGAGACCACTCAGAATACTGTTTACTGACTGCTGGAGAAGTGGACATTTTACGTTTTTATTAGACGGGTTGCCAACTGGAGGAGATGCTACCCCTTCCAAAAAGCCTAAGGTCTCCTCCATTTAACAGTCCTGATGATCCTGTTCCTTCCTCTCTGTCCTTCATATCATACACACTGTCCTTGTGCAATTTAAACTGCACATACTTCTGAAGTCTCTGCACAAATCCCCACCAATTCCTACAGATAAAATCACATCACCACTGGCAACAAACACCCACCTCCAGGTTATTACTCCAGTTCTCCATTCTTCAGATTTGGTCTTAACAGACCACCATACTGGACTGCAAAGCTCAAGTCCAAAGATCTTGGTCACTTCCTCTGTAAGACCGAGTGGTCGCACCACAAAGCCTTCAAGTTTTTTGCGGCCTCTTTCTTAACGGTTACATTACACTAACATCATTTCCCGAGATCAGCGAAGGCAAGCAAGGGTGAAGAACGGAAAACCAGCATAAGGACGGCTGGCAAAGCAAGGACAAACCGCCCAGTGACACAGCTGAAGCGACAGGCCCTGGCAATGGGTCGTGCAGGGCTGCAGCAGTCCGGAGGACGCCCCGAGGGGGAAACACCTCGCAACCCCCTCACGGGCCCTGTAGCCCCACTGCCCCGGGCCCCGCCCCGCGTCCCGCCCCCGGCCCAGCACTTCTATCAGCGGCTGCCCGCGGGCCCCACCGTGCCGTCCCTTACCAAGTTGTCTGCAATCCGCCACCCCGCAGTGCTGCCCTAGCTCCAGCTCCGCCATGTTCCGCGCAGCCCGAGGACGGGGGGACGACGGAGCGATGACGCTGCTGAGCCCGAGCGCGCAGCGGCTGCCAAGCCCCGAAAGGTGCCGAGGCTGCTACGCACAATGTGCTCGCCGCCCCGGGGCGTGGCTGGCGGAGCTGCGGGCGGGATCTGCGGGGTCCGTGAGGGGATTGCGTTGCAGCCCAGCGCGTAGGGCGTGGCGTTTCGCCGCGGAGCTGCTGGGAGTGCTGTGGGAGGGGCTGCCCCGCCGGGCTCCGGGGACCCAAGGTTGGGGGGTGTGTGTCGGCTTAACCGGAGCCTCAGGGTTCCCGTGCGCCCAGAGCCGTGACGCCGGTGACTTTCGTGCGTCAGACTGCTGTTGTCGGGGAAAAGTAGTTGGTGTGTTTTAGCTGTGGTAGCGCCAGCCCCCCAGCAGGGCCCATAGGGGAAGGCGACGGGAACGCGGCTTTCTGCACTGCTGTCACTTTATAGTGCTGCTAAGTGTCACTGAGTCTCGCTGCCCGTGTCACCAGCCCGTCCGGGCTCGGGGCGCCTTTTCCCGGCAATCCCCTCAGAGTGCTCTTTCCTGCAGCACAGCAATGAGAAATGATGGGGGGAGCACAAGCTGAGCGCGGGCACCCCGGCCCCGCCTGGGGCGTTGCCCTCTCTCCGCAGGGATCCGCTGCGGGCAGCCCCACAGAGCGCGCTCGCCCCTCCCGCCCCTCGCCCCGGCGCGGACAGGGGTCACGCGTGAGGCCGCCGCCGGCAGCGGCAGCAGCAACGCTTCGGTCACCGCAGAGCCGCCCCTGAGTGGGCAGCTTGAGGGTGGGGCCGGGCCGGGCCCGCCCCGCCGCCAGGTGCTGAGCCACCTCCCGCGGGTCCAGGAAGTGCCGTCACGGCCCGGGGGAGAGGCTGCTGCGGGCCGGCCTGGCCAGAGCTTTCGTCGGTGAGTGCCGAGCAGGTGCTGCCGCCATGAGCAAGATTTCCAAGTTCTTCAAGGGAGGCGGCTCGTCCGGCTCGAAGGGCCGCCGGGGGCCCTCGCCGCAGGAGGCGCTGGCCCGGCTGCGGGAGACAGAGGAGATGCTCAGCAAGAAGCAGGTGTACCTGGAGACGAGGATCGAGCGGGAGCTGGCGCTGGCCCGGCAGCACGGCACCAAGAACAAGCGAGGTGAGTCCCAGTAGAGCAGCCGGGCCCGTTGCTCTCCATCTGCCGCCGGGTGACTTGCGGGGCTTTAAATACCAAGGTTTAGACTCTTCTAGGTTGTGGTTTCTGTTAAGAGGAGGTCTCGTGGGAACCATTGCTGCTTGCGCTCTCCAGGTATGCAGCGTGCTTGGTGGTTCAGCTGTGGGCTTGAAGCAAACATTGCCATGATGCGTGTACGCTGGGACATGACGATGGCTTTTAGTCTTGGGCATCTCTTGGTATTCAAGGCGTTGTGGATTTACTGTGGTGGGATGATAAAGGGGTGCTTTATTCCTCACTAGTTTACTGTCTGTGGTTCCCTGTGTCATATGTTCATTTGTGCTTAGCATCACAGTCAATGCAGGCATCAGCTGGATACATGCTGTGTGAAGTACTTCTGTTCAAGGTGGGAAGGGGATCACAGCTTGGGTTTTGAGCATTGGTTGTGCAGATAGTAAAGAAGCTGAAGCACATGAGGATCTTCAGTATATCCGTGGAGGAAAACAGGTTATATCCACTGTGAGAGTTGGAAAGTATATGTGTTGGCACCTGAGGAACAAAGTGATTCAGCTATTTGTCTCAAATCACATAGGAAGTACATGATACCACTAAAAAATGAATAATAGTTCAGCATATTTGTTACTACTGGGCTGCTGTTATCTGCAGATGAGAGGATACTAAGGGATAATAAGAGCTGGATCTTGCTTCTACTGATGTTGGTATCTCTGTAAAGGGAATAATGGTAGGCAATGTCTTAGGGATTATACAGGCCTTTGAGAAACAAGTAAATTACTTTCTGAAGTTACCTGGAGGCCTGTTTGTCTACTCTGAGCTTTGTTTTTCTTTACATACTTCAAAACAGAAGGAAAACATTTTGAGTTAACAATTTGTGGCATAACAAGAGTAGCTCTTTCATCTGTTCTCTCTGTTGCTTGATAATTTAACAAACTACTGTGGTGTAACTTGCGAAGAATTGTGTGTTAAAGTCCCATAAAAAGGCTAACCAAATACATGTAATAATTTAGCTTGTTAATAAATTTACTTTTAATGATTTTACTTGTTAGTAATTATTAGCAAAAGGCAGATAAACTTTTAGTTAGAAAGGATCTAAAAGCATGAGTCAAGATGGGACAGATCTGAAGGCACGGTCAGAGGGAGTAAAGCCAGTTCAGCAGCATAACAGCCTGCTCCTCTGCAGCATGGGAGCTGTCAGGGCTGTCCCAGTCCCACACTTTGCACTTGCTTGGGTGCAACTGGAGTGTCTCATCCCTTTGTTCAGGTACTGGCACCTGTGTGTGAATGCAGTGAGCTAGTTCAGGAAGGTGATCCAGCTGAGAACTAATTTGCTGTGGGACAAAGTGACCATATAGCTCCCGGGATTGTGTTCATTGTGCACATGGCTGGGCATCAGGGTGGATGCAAGAGAACAGGACTGCTCCTGTGACTGTAACAATTCCTGTTTAGATCCAGACATGCTGCTGTGGAATGTCATTCCAAGCCTGGACTTTAAGCTGTCATAGTTGTAGGAAGAAGAAATGCTCCATGCCTTTCCTTGTCAGAGCTCCCTGAAGGGCATATTTCAGAAAGCTGGATGCAGATGTATAATGTGGGGTTTTGTGACTGGGTTATTTTTTTACCCAGGGTAGATTAAGTTCCATTTACCTATTTGTCTCAGCAGCTGCACAAGTGCTTGGGTACCTCTGAATGAAATGGTGATGCACAGGCAGGAATGAGTACTTGTTCTTGGGAGAAGGTGGATCTGCTTCTCCTTTAACTTGGCTGATTGATGCTGGTTTCAGGTGTTGGCCTTGTGCTTCAGGCGTGCAGCATTTGACATATGAAGCTTTTCTCTCAGATCTTTGTGTCTGCTGCTGTGCTCAGTATGCAGTTTCCCAGTGCTTTACCTGTGTGATTATTTGTGGAGTTATGCTGCAAACTGGATTGTTGAGCTGATCATAGTTAAAAATAACTCCCTTTTATCTTGTTTGTTCAGGACTGGACAGCTAAGAACAATAAAGAGACAGGAGTAGAGCAAAAAGTGCAGAGTGGGATTTTTTTTCATGCCAAAAATGATTGTAAAGCTAAAATGGGACAGTGTTAAGTCCAGTCAGAGGAGTAACAAGAGACATTAACCTTGATGTGCTGAAGTGCTTGAATTTAGCAGGCTAGTGAATGAACTTAAATCCCTAATGATTCCTCTTCATTTGATATGTCAGTTGCTTTACGGTTTGATTGCTGTTGATTTACATGTGATAGTGTATTAGCTGCTATACTGTACTATATAGTTCACAGGAAATCTGTGTTAACCAGCATATATTGTAGCATGAGATAATAAGTTTTAATCTATGTTGCCTTGTTAAAATGAATCTTTCAAAGGGACCTTGCAGGTAATTTTTAATGTTGATTTTTCTTAATTGCATCTGTGGAGAAGCCTATGGAAACCAAAATGGGACTGTCCAAGACTGGAGCCAGATGCATCTGTGTATAGAAAATGCACCAAATTAGCATGATCTCATTTAATTTTAGGTGTGTGAGTCTGAGTCAGTAATACTGTCACAGGAGAGAGCAGATTCAGGCACCAGCAATTTTTCATTAGTTCAGATGATTCTTGAATGGGTTCATGTGACATCAGTAGGCTTAACTTGATTTAAAAGCTGTAACACATTAGCTATGCTAATAGATGTGAAACATCATGTAAATATTTTTGGCTTCTCCTTTATGAAGTGAGTAGCTCTGCAGTTCGTGTTGTAATACATTTCCAGTATTCCCCATTGATATCTTACTGTAGCCAGGCCACTCAGGGGTTTTCAAAACAGGTATGTGTGTTGGAATTCCCTCTGTAGAGGTTATGTCATGATAAGCAATATCTGTTTTCACAGTTACCACTGCCTTTTAATCTCTTCCTAATTCCAGGTCCAAAGTCGTGATTTTTTTTTGGTATCTCTTGCTGTACTTTTTTGGGTATCTCAGTTTCAACCAGCTCATAGCTGCCAACTCCATGTGCAATTTGGCCTTTCATTTTCATTATTTTGAAGATCATACAGGAAAATTCAAAGGACATAAAATGATGCTGAGTATTTGAGAACTCTGTTTAAAAGGAAATGCATTTCCTGAAGTGTGCGTATGCCTGTGAAAATAACATACATGTGACTGGGTGTTGGTTCAGCCTGGAATCTTTCACAGAACCTAAAAAAAAATAGCTAACTCAAGAATAAAGTTAAAAGCAGCCATCCAGAATAGGACTACATCTTAACCATGAAGAGTCACATAGTACCACTAGGGACAGAACCAATATAGAAAGTTGGAGTAATAGGTAGGCCTTTACAAGTAGGTGTAGCTAAATATGTTGTGTGGTACATATGAACAGGGCTCATGTGGCCATGTAGCATTCCTTTTCAGTGAGTTAGTTGTAACCAGAAGGGTGTTGAAAGCAAACAACAGTACAGTAGTTGCACTTCAACACAGACAGGGCGATCATGCCTGTGGCAGGGTTTATGACAGGTTGGGGCTGAGGGTTTCTGTCAGAGAGATATGAGGAAGCCCTACAAGTGTCTTTGTTCTGTGAATTACAACTATTGTTCTCTGATCTCCATGATCACATTTCAAGTGTCTTGCCATGAACTGGAGTGGTTATAACAAGTTGAATTCATTATTGTTCTTGAATTAGCCCCTCAGTTGTAACTGTATGTGGTTTCTTCCTCAAGGTTTTAAGGATTATGAATGCTGATAATGAGTTTACTTAGGGTGGTATAATTTTTTATAACCTCATCAGCACTTCTTTTGGTTGTCTGTGGTGTAAGGGAGATCAGAAATTGTAATTCTTGCAGGAATGAAGTTGAGGTCTGTGAACTGTATCTGAGAATGAGTGAGTATTTTCACAGGGGTGTTATATTTCCTTAAGAAACATTCTTCTTCACCAATTCCCCCCGGGAATTTTAAGGGTTAAAAGACCATGCTTTTGTTTGTACTTCAAAAGATGAAATCATCTGTAATTCCTATACTAATGGGTGTTGGTGGTGGGCTTAACAGGTAAAGGTAGTGATATCACTGAACTGTCTTTTCATTCTGATCTGTCATGAAACCATGAGGAGGGTGCCACAGATCTTTGTGTCACTACTTTTGTTCTTTGCTTAAGAAATCTGGATATTAAATGTATCCAGGATTACTGTTGCCTAGCTGGCCATTTCTGCTTCCTAATGAAGCATAATACTGATAATGGAAAAAGAGTCCTTTTGTATGTTAATAATAGTAGTTCTTTAATACACATACTTAAACTGACGTATTAGTCTACTGATGTTCCACCCTTTATGTTAGAAACTTAGATTAAAAGCAGTGTTTCTTATTCTGTGAGCTTCTGTTCTATTCCTGCTTGCTGGAAATGTGCTAAAGCCCAGCCAAGTGCTGATCATTTCATTTTGAAATACAGGAGTTGCACTGGCTTCTTTGGAGCGCAACAGAGACAGTGTATGAGATGCTTTTTTTACCCCCCAGAAGAAGATCTCCACCTCTTTCTGGTATTAGATACACTTGCTTCCTCACTTTACCCTTGTTTAGACTCTTCCTCCCTGGGCTGTCTCCCTTTGAAATCTTTGGAATGGGCTACACCCTTTTTCAGTACCATTCTTAGACTTGCTTGTATGTGCAGTAGAGATGCACTTAAAGTTCATGATAATCTGTAAACCAAAAAAATACATTTCAAATAAGGAAATTCTCTTAGCTATAGAAGCTACTATAACAAAACTGCACAATGAAGGGCAGTCATTTAACATAAATGAGAAAAGTCACGTAGTGTGGTGTGGGAATTTATAATGTCTTCGTAAGGAAGGAATATGAATTGATTTCCTGTGAAGCGCTTTGTTCTATAAGTCACTGGTAAACCTAAACAGAATTAAAAAAGGTGATATGTTGCACTACAGTAATTAGGAAAAGCTGTTTATGAATAGGTGAAGTCACATGGATTTCAGCTGCTTCTGTGGTTTCTTAGTTTGGGTGTGGTTTAATTAAGTGTTAATACAGGAACCTTAAGGATTTTGAAAACAACTTCTTTGTATGTAACTGAGGAAACCCATTTTCTCTGTGAGCAGTCAGTAATAACAGCACCATTACAGAGTCCCATTTCTGAAAAACAATTGGAAATATCACCTTGTAGTAGCTACTTGCACCAGTGGAAGTCTTTCTGCACCAGCTAGTTAGTGTTCCTCAGTCCACAGGGCTTTGAAGTCCTCCCTGGCACAGCCAGTGTTATGCACAGTTTTAGACTATTAAATTTACCTGAAATCTCTGTCTTCCTAACATAAGAATCCTAAGATCAAATTTTGATTCAACTGAAGCTAAGGAAGGAAGTGGTTGGTGTCCTAATACTAACAATAATAAGCATAAATAAGTAGGGAAATAAGTATGTAAAAAGAATATTTGTGATTAAATCAAACTGGTGTATTTTGGAATTGCTGGTGGGAATTCTACAATTTTTCACATTTGCAGTTTACATGACATCACCTGGCATTCATGCTTTCAGAGTATGCATGATCTTTGAACCATCGCCCAAGACCTGGGAAAATCCTGAATTTGAATACTGTGATTAATCTGTTGTGATTGTGGTTTGCTGTCCTGAAACATTTCACTGCTGGTGCTAGAATCATGGAATGGTTTGGGTTGGGAGATCATCTTAAAGATCATCTTGTTTCAGCCCCCCTGCCATGGGCAGGGACACCTTCCATTAAGCCAGGTTGCTCTTAGCCTGTGCAAATGCTTGTCTTTGCACAGCTAACAATGAGCAGTCTTGGTCATGTTGATTCAAGCATATGTCAACAAAGCAGTAGATTTTTTTTTTTTTTTTTAGTGTGTTGTTGCACACCGTAAATCTATGCCCCTTCTTGGAAGGATCCTAACTCTGCAAATTTGTGTACCCCAGTGTCAAGATTCAGTATTATTGCATGTGGGCAATTACTGGAATAGGAAAGCGACAATAATTGCTGCTTGTTGGTTGAGTTTGGGGGGCCGCAGTGCTGTTGCTTGCTGTCTCTGAACCTGATTTAAAAATTGAATGTAAGAGAAAAAGGAAAAGGCATGGCTATTAATAGCATTGAAAAAGCTATGGGTTAACTCAGTCTCTTGGTTTTGTTTGTTGTCTTGCCTGGCACATGTGTAGGTTGGAAAGGACAGTGATCAGGAAATGCTTGTGGCAAGATTGTGTGTGATCCACACCCAGCGGCCAAGAGAAAGTTCTTTTCTCCTTCTCCGTGTCACATGCATTCATTCTGGTAATGATTTACTCTGGGCAAAGTATGCTGCTCATAATTTAGCAAATATAAAAGACTAATCTCGGTGATTTGCAAAGTTAATAGAGTAGCTGGACTTGACCGTGGCTGTGTTTATGAAGTTTTATATGTTTTCAAGTTCTAAGGTTTAAGGATCATGCTCATAAGTGATTATAAAGAAATAGATGCAGCTGAAAGCCACAGAAATGAGTCTTCATCTGATCTAACAACCTGCTTGGTTACGCTGTTTGCGCTTTCCATTACATCTGGCAGTTTCTGCTGCTGAGACAAAGTTTAGAAAGCATCACTGATGGAGGTGTGGTTATTGTGACAGATCTTACACTGTCTTCCTTAGTTTTTACTTACGTTTTGCAGCCTCTTCTTTTCTTTTTCCCCTTTCTCCTCCTTTCTGACTTTGCTCTGACATTTTTCTTTTTCCTCCCTGTCTTCCCTGCTTCGCCTGTGTGCACAGGATGGAGTTTACGATCTCCCGCAGTGGAGGAAGAAGATGCTCTTCCCTGTGGTGTTCAAAGGAGTTAATCTAAAAGAGACTTCCCAGCATGTTAATGCAACAGCATGTTGGTGATAAACAGGCTGCTGATCTGGTGTGGTCAAAGTTTGTCTCCCTACTAGTAAGGTAGGAGGGTGAGAATTATAAATTCTGCAGGTTGGCTTGGTGCTGAACTTCTTGTCCTTGCATTTTGCTATAAAAATACACAGTGCACTTTGCCTCTTCCCATTCCAGCTGCCTTACAAGCACTGAAGAGAAAAAAGAGATATGAGAAACAGTTGAGTCAAATTGATGGGACACTTTCAACCATTGAGTTCCAGAGAGAGGCATTGGAGAATTCCCACACCAACACAGAAGTGCTCAAGAATATGGGCTATGCTGCACAAGCTATGAAAAAAGTACATGAAAACATGTAAGTGCTAATAGCTTTCAAGTTGAGCTCTATTAACGACTTTCAAGCTGTTTCATCACTGAAGAATATTTTATCAAATCAAACTGTTCTGACTTAATTTTTGGCTCAGGCATTTAATGTCAGGAATGATGTTGATGCAGTGGTGTTACATTTGGCAAAAAAAATGTCTCTTCTTAACAGCTAGTCTCAAAGGAAGCTCGCTTAACTAGAGAGATTCATGTAGTACCTGGTTTTTCTTAAGTCTGCCTTGGCAGTGGAGACTGTCCTCTGCCCCTGGTTTGTTGGGTTGTTTTTTTCAGAAGAAAATTTAGTTGAAGAAACTAAGTGGACATTTTTCCTCAAAGTCTATAAGCTGGGCCGTGTGATTCAAAGTACTAATTAGACGTGAATAAAGGAGAGGGACTTTTTTTTTGTCTGTGTAGTATTTTTATATGTCCCATATTTCATGAGCTGTTTTCCTGCCTGAATAAACAGTTAAATGAGAAAAATTGTTCTGGGAGAAGTAAACAGGAACTGAAACAATAATGAAGTTAACAATAAGGAGAAGATTTAAAATGGAGTATAGTCCTGTTAAGTTCCCCCGCGTTTAACATCAAAAAAGATCCATCTGTAAAGATGCTGACTTTAGGAAAGAGGTGGGATCTGCCCAGAGGATGTGACTCTTGGCTGAGAAGCACAGAGAGGGAGAGAGACACAAACTGTTGCAGTTTGACCTTTTCTTACAGTCCCAAAGTGGAAGAAATTTGACTGGCTAAAACACACAGAAGCTTGCCAGGAAACATTAAGGTGCAGGTGGGTGAAATTACTCCCTGTGAATTCTGCTGTTTATATGCAGCCATGGCATAAAAAGAAAATAGAGTCTGTTCAAGGTTTTCCAAGTCTCTTTTGTAGGATTTGAATGATGAACTATCTTTTAAAAATGTTTCTATGTTATCTTGCCAGGGACTTGAACAAAATCGATGATTTAATGCAAGATATCACTGAACAGCAAGATGTTGCCCAGGAAATTTCAGATGCTATCTCAAACCGAGCTGCCTTTGGTGATGAGTTTGATGAGGTTAGTACTTCAGGCCTGCGAGTTTTAGCTGTTAAATGATTCCATAGCTATTTTGTTGTTGTCTAGTGGCTTGTTCTGGTGGTTTGTTTCTCAAAAGGTGTTGGTATGAAATTTCTTGGTTCTAGCTTACCCCATCAAGGATGTTTGACTACTTCTCACATCTTTTTTTTTATAGATAGATAGATATGTGTGTGTTTATATATGTATTTATATATATATTAATATATATAACATAACTAATAAAAATGTAAACTCTAAAAATATTTCTATTTGTATATACATTTTGAAAAAGGCAACTTTAACTGCACTCCTGTAGTTGTTATTCTCATTTGTACCATGGGAGGAGGTCACTAAAACATGTGATTTGTACTGCTACAAGTGGACACTGAAATATATAATTTTTTGTGCTCCAAATAGGCATGCATTTGACTAAGTGCATATTTGTATGCCATGAACTGTTCACAATTCTGAATATTTGGACCATTTTTTTTAAGGTCATTTTTGGTGCTTGGAAACGCAGGTGCTTTCCCTGTGTTCCAGATTTTCTGCAGATCCATTAGGTTGACTTGGGGGGAAGGGAGGTTTCGTTCAGCAGTTATAATTTGTTGAGAACAGTAACGATTCTTTGTATTTTATTCCCATTATCTGCTTTCCTATTTTTCCACTTTGAATGTAAATAGACTTTTCAAGAAACAGCTTAATTGTTACTGGCATAAGGAATGGGATTTGACCTGTATAAACTGGGTGTCAAACAACTGAAAAACACTGCCATCCCAAAGAGCTATACAGTGTCTTTTACTTTTCATCATTGCTTAAATTGTAGGAGTCTAGACTTAGTAAGCATGTTGTAGACTGACCTGGCAGTTCCTAAGAGATACTAGTCTAAGTTGATGGGAACATTTCCTGTTCTGGGAGACTAAGCCACTGTCACATAGGGCATCATTTTATCAGCACTTGCTTTTGTACTGGGGCCTAATACTTGTAGCACTTGTCCAGTAACTGGGAAGTTTGGTCTCCAGGACACTTCAGCTTGAGAGCACTGGAATCAGTGACTTAATTGCTGGGTTATGAGGTGATTTGTGTTGGAGGATGACATTTAATTTTATTTTTTTGAAGGACATTTTGGCCACACACTTGAATTTCCTCTTCATATGTGTTCCATGGGTGTAAGGAGATCATGGAAACATGTAATTTCTACTGCTTCAGACAGACACAGAAACTTAAGGACTCTTTCTCTTTGGATTGACACAGTGTATGTTATGAAGAATGCAAAAAAGCTCTGTCCTTCCTGAGTAGGATGCTTACTGGGAGAGGCAGTCTTTTCTTGGAGGCCTGCTTCTGATGTGAAATACATTCCCGTGGACAAAGCTTAGAACCTGAGAGTTGGCATCTCTTCCCCTGCTCTTTTTGGCCTAGGATAAGAGAGAGAGGAGATTTGTTATAGCTATTGCGATACTCCACAGCCTAGTTGTACAGCAGTTCCTGAGTTGTGGGAAATATAAGCTAAATCCATGCTTGAGGATGAGAATAACTTGTCTCACTTTGATAGCAAATATTCTAGCCACTACATCATTATGTTAAAGTTGTAGGAGTCATGATCATGGTTTTCTTTTCTTTTTTTAAAGAGAGCCTGTTCTGGCTGATACTACCTCTGAATTGTTTGTGTTCAGCAGAGGTTGGTAAGGACTGATTTGGTATTGGAGGGTGTTAGATGATCATGTAGAGGTCTTCAGAATTACCTGTTTCCATTGACCTTACAGCAGCTTGGACACTAACTTTTAAAGAAGCTTGTATTCACAGCACTGCCTGGGGCACTTAAAGTACAGACACATTTGCTCTTCAGCTAAATGCCTAAGTTAGATATGGGGTCCCAAACTTGCACATTTCCTTGAGGGGTCAGCTGTCAATTGAACATCATCAGCTATTGACCTGATGCTGAAATTTATAGATGGTATCCCAGCATTTGCATTGTGAACTAGGTCAGGTAGGCAAACTAGCCTTTCTTTGGCATTAAGATATAAAAACATGAGAAAGTAAGTCTGAGAAGGCCTGTAGTGACTATGTGGTTAACATTTGAACTTCCATGTTGGTGATGTTAGGTATAAATGGGTAAGCAAAGCCCATTTCAGTACCTATTGATCTCACATTGCTACAGCCACTTTTTCCCCAGCCACTTTTGCCAAGTGTTTCTTTTTAAACTATTTATTAATGTGGCAAAGGTCCATTGCCCTATAAATATGTAATACTTAGCTTCCTTTCTTTGAGAAAGTCCAGCCAACAAATAGGCTTTTTTTAAAAAAATGTATAGCCTCTTTTATTTTTAGTATTTTGCAAGTGGATCAGAACATCTGTCCAAATCAGCTTCTGCAGCTAGAAGTCCAAGCGTGTTACATGCTTCACAGGACCCAGAAGGACAGCTCTGATTCTAGTGCTCCTTTGAAATCATATATAATCCTGGACTTGTGTGATAGGGTTGAAGCATAATGTTCAATGTCAGCGTACAGTGTAAGCAGTGGAAACTGTTTTTAAAATGGAAGAAATTGCACATTAAAATCAGAATCTGTTAAAGACTACAGGATCCAGTTTGGAACAAACCTGAGGATGGCAGTGGGACTTCTCTTTTTTCCCGTGTTTGCCTTTTGATAAGTATTACACTGGTATCAGTTTTCTTTCTAATTTTATTCCTTGTCCTGTTTCTAACTTCCATTATCCTTCTTACAACTTTCAACTGAGGTTTACTCTTACCGCTCACAGTTAGTAAAAATCATACTTGTGATATGCTGGTTTTTCATATTTATTTTCAGGTGTAAACTGTTTTTGTTTTGTTCTTTTTTGTTTGCTTATTTCAGTAGTGCTTTGTTTCATGGTGATTAAATGTGCCCTTGCCTGAGGTCACTGTCAAGGCAGTAGAACTGTAAATAATGTTTTCTTTGAATTTAGGATGAGTTGATGGCAGAATTAGAAGAACTGGAGCAAGAAGAATTGAACAAGGGAATGAGAGATGTCAGGTTGCCAAGTGTTCCGTCCACATCGCTGCCTTCTCGCCCTGGTAAACTGCCTGCTTGCAATTTTCCATTTCTCATGATTAAGCCATGATGTGAGAAGGAGAGGGAGAGAGAATTTCAAAGATATACTTAACTCTGGTTTAACTTTTAAAGTCTTATAGATTCCTGTTCCTATTTTTGTGTCCGTTTATCAGGAAAAGCAGAATGGAATTCTGGTTTCCTGTATGAAAGCATTTAGCACTAAATTCTCTGTAGATCTGGGGAGACAAACTTGGAGAACTTGACCTTGGGCATGTACTGATGCATCTTCTGGAACAGTGAGATTACCAAGGAAGGGGAATACATTTTTTATTTTTATTTTTTTTTTACAATTAAATCCTTAGTCTTTTTAAATTGGAGTCTGACCTATATTGAAAATGTTTGCATCGCAAAGATCCAGCTTTGTAGGGTAGTGGTTTGATATTTACTGCTGGTATTTTAATGAGAAATTAAGGAAGCAGCAGGAAGTACACATTTAAAGAAATATTGTCATTCCTTTGCTTGCTTTCTACAGAGCAGACTTATTCCTGGTGTTAAGCAGTAGCCTTCTTTTTCTGTAGTTCTGCTCTGTTCATTTTGAATTAAGCCCGAAGACAGTTGACTTTTACTACATCTTTCACCATGTCCCTGTCATCCTCTACCAGTTGAAAGACTTGCGGTGTACTGATGCTAGTAAAACAGTATAAATGTTTGATGATAAGGACAGCACACACGTTACACAGGTTGTTTATGGTGCTTTCTGCTGCAGGACAGGTTACGTAGACCAGTTCAGCTAAGAGACTCTTACATGTGTTTTAGCAGACAGCACTTAAATCCTGAGAAGCAGTTTTAAATGTTCAGATTGAGACTGTGGCCTCATCTACTGAAGTCAGTTGCAAAGCAGCTAGTAAAAAGAAAAACGGATTTGGGAAAGCCCAGTGCAAGTTGCAGTCTGGGTATTTATGACTTGTTCATACATCCTTTTCCAGATCTAACTGTGCCAGTTGACATTTTTATTAAACCCAGGCCATCTCTGTGTGCTTCTTTTAATTTGCTGCTTCATCTATCTGTATGGCTGCTTCAGCCTAAATTAACTGGTTACAATTCTATAGTTTAAGGCCTTGCAAAACCAGCTTGTCTTTTCTGAAACTCCATGCTTACTGTTACACAGCAGTAGAAAAATAAGAACCGTTAGTATTTCTCATTGGAGATACATGTTACCTTCCTGATTTCGAACTGAAGAAACTGAGATGGAGCAAGTCATAGTGATCTTCCCTAGTCGCACAGTGAGCCAGTGGCACTTGCAGAGTAGGGACTGGTTAACTGATGTCACCTGAACAAAGACAGTTCAGGAATTTCTTCCTTTTAACAAATGGCAGCTCCCATTAAAATGCAGTGAGGCTGGACCTGCACATGCAGAGTTCTTCAGTGCTATTTTGAAAGGTAGCAGGATGTGCAGCCAGCCAGGGATCGGTCACTTGTGCCTCCTCAAGTGGCAGTGAGAGAACTGGCAGCATTCCGGAGGACACTTGCTTTATGTGACAACTCTTAGAGATTAAATGTATTTTCTGTGGGAGCCTTTCAGTAGGAATCATAGAATAGTTAGGGTTGGAAAGGACCTTAAGATCATATAGTTCCAGCCCCATTGCCATGGACAGGACACCTCACACTAAACCATGCCAACCGAGGCTCTGTCCAACCTAGCCTTGAACACTGCCAGGGATGGAGCATTCACAACTTCCCTGGGCAACACATTCCAGTGCCTCACCACCCTTACAGTAAAAAACTTCTTCCTTATATCCAACCTAGCTTCCCCTGTTTAAGTCTGAACCCATTACCCCTTGTCCTATCACTACTGTCTCTAGTCAAGAGTCCCTCTCCAGCATCCTTGTAGGCCCCCTTCAGATACTGGAAGGCTGCTATGAGGTCTCCAAGCAGCCTTCTCTTCTCCAGGCTGAACAGCCCCAACTTTCTCATACTGGAGGTGCTCCAGGCCCCTAATCATCCTCGTGGCCCTTCTCTGGACTTGTTCCAACAGTTCCATGTCCTTTTTATGTTGAGGACACCAGAACTGCACACAATACTGCAAGTGAGGTCTCACGAGCAGAGTAGAGGGGCAGGATCAGCTCCTTCATCCTGATGGTCATGCTCCTTTTGATGCAGCCCAGGATACGTTTGGCTTTCTGAGCTGTGAGCACACACTGCTGGGTCATGTTCATTTTCTCATTGACCAAAACCCCCAAGTCACTCTCCACAGGGCTGCTCTCAATCTCTTCTCTGCCCAGCCTGTAGCTGTGCCTGGGATTGCTCCGAGTTACATCAGACCCATACTGTTAATCTCAGGGTTATATTTGAGATAACAGTATGAGCAAAGTAGTTGCATCCCTCATCAGCTTCATTACTTTATTATCTAGGTTTAGCTTGCTACTCAATAAATTAATCTGAGATATTTAGACTGAGAAGCACTATTCCAGTCCTCATGCTAATAAATAAAATGTTTCTGATTATCACATTTAGTTGATGGTTATTGTTGCTCTCTTTGCAGCATCAGCGAGGAAGAGAACAGAGGATGAAGATGAAATGAAGAAGCTTGCTGCCTGGGCTTCATAATACCATGGTCTTTTATAGCACTGAACATTACAGTGCAGATGTACAGAGCTGTAAAGCTGTTTTATAACTACTGATATACTGTGGTTTCATTTCGTGAAGGCTGTTTTTTTATGGCCAATCTTGCTACGAATAGTGTTACTGCCATATTACAAAACTAGTTTAAAAATAAACAATTAAAAATGCAATAGTTTCCAGAACTCCAAGCATCAAACTTTTTTTCAGCCTTGGCCAGAAATTTGTGTTGTTATCAGTATCAGTTTTTATTAGGTGATATTGTACTATGGCTGGTTTGTAAAACCTATGTACCTTCACACACAACTGGATTTGTTGTTGAAGTGCAAAAGTTCAAGTCATTAAGGCCCTATTCTAGAGGGTTATTTGGTTCAGACTTTGAATATTAGCATAGAAACCTTATACATGTCCTGACTTGCAAGTTCCTTTGAGCCCAAGAGCTAATAGCCATTCATTTAGACCTGGAGATTTAAACAGTCTGCCTGGAGCAATTTATGATGAGCTAGATATTAAGAGGAGACTCTTCTGCAGGATTTTGAAGTGGGATAAGTATTTTTGGTTTAACTTTGGCCACAATATCCCCTGCACTTCTGTAGGTCAGGTTGAGTTGTGTTTTCAACTATTTTGCTCTTGGTTAAAGAACATTTTTACAGTGATTGGGGAAAATTAAATGTCTAAGTTCTTATAGAGCTCTGCCAAACAAAACTGATTTCTGCTAACCCTGTCAAAGATCCGGAAGAGATTTGACCTTCCTTTGTTTTACTCTACTGTGTCTTTCTAGGCTGAGTCTTTACTTTGTATGATAATACCCATCGTCCAAGCAATTAGTAACACATTTTTAATTATACGGTTTCAAAATAATCTTCTGAGCGTTCTTTTCTATTACTCAGTTTCTGAATGGAAATAATACAAGCATGTTGCATTCAAAATGCCTTTTTAACCCTGATTAAAAGCTGATTCTGGGTTAGTTGTAAAGTTGATGTGTTACTGTCCAACTGACAACTTTATAGCTTGAGGAAAAAAAGCCACTCTGAGTGCTAAACTACTACATATATAGAGAAATCACCGTTCTAATACAGAACAAGAATTGAATAGGCTGCTTTGAGCTAACAAATTCTATTAAACGAAACTTAAGCTCTATGCTAGTAGTCTGCTGTCAGCCACACGGAAATAGTAAAACACTGTGGAGTTCCGAGGAATGTGGGAAGCAGAGTGACATCAATCACTCTTCTTGTTTTCGTATTAATTTAAATTTGCTGATGATTGAACCACTTGGGTATAGTGAGAGACTTGGTTTCTGTAGTTCTGTTTCAGTGGAAGACCGACTCCTCCTGCTGTGGGCTTTAGGCTATGATGTGCTGGGTGTTCAGCATCGATAGGCTGCAATAGGCTTCAGCTTCTTAGATTTAGGTTAAGCATAAGTTAATGTGTGTTTCTGGGCACGGCATGAGGGCATGCTCAAAACCTTTCAACTTGAGTTGGTGGATGAAACACCACATTTACAAACCCTGTGGAGAGATTCAGTTTTTCAGGACTTTTTTATTCTCTGTAGTGGAATTGCTTTTGATTTGCATCCATTTGAAAGGACAATCAAGCTTTGCTACTTTACTTTGGATGCATTTCTTACTCGGAAAAAAACACAAGTGTGTTAATTCTGTCCCAAGGTTTGGAGGTACCAGAAAAATTGTTCCTTTCTGCTGAGTGGAGAAAACCTGGAACAAACAAAACCACAAAAAACCCTAACAAAACCCCAACCTGCCTTAAATTTAAAAATACATTTTGAACTCTCAGTAGGAAATCAAACACTAACAAAATGTTCCTCAGTTTTAATGCTTGCTGACACTTGGGATGAGATGCCAGCTGACAGCAGGCATATTTGATAAAATAACAAGTATTTGGAGTTACTTAGAATCCAATTCATAATCCTGTTGGCTGGAATCCTGTTTTCAAGGTGTGCAGTTTATGCAAGTCTCTGAACTGGGTACAGAAAGTATTAATGTACACTGATTGCACCACTATGTGAGGCTGGCCATGTGTCTGTGAACACATCTAGTATTCTAAATGTGAGGCCATACCAACATAGTCCTGTGCTTAGCTTGGAAAAGTTGGCTTCTAGCATCTGTTCTTGGTTGAATTAGTAGTTTTTCAATACTTGGCACTTTGCTTAGCACTTGGGATATTTGAAGTGCTCTACAGCCTAGCCAAAATATGTTTCTAAGCTTCCAGCTTGAAACTAAAGTGATTTTCAGTCTGCTTTGGAAAAAGTGGACTTGCTGTTTTATGTGAACTTTGTATGTGAACACTCTGCAAGGGTGAAGAAATCTGGGCAAAGTCTTCTCCTTTGCAAGCTAGCATCTGGCTACTGACTTTCAGCAATGTTTTGGCCAAGTGTTGATCCTGGGAAACTTCAGGTGTCTTCAGCTTATTGATTTCAGACCAGATGCTTTAGGAACAAGATTTAGGGAGGGTGAAGAAAATAAACTGGTCATTCAGATGAGCTTCCATAAAAGCCTGTGTGTGGTAGTTGGTGGCTCTGGAGGAGAGAGTCACATACCCGTTTATAGGCTAGGATGTGAGTGGTTGGTGACACTATACTCAGGGATACTGTGGTGTACACACCAAAACACTGGGTCTCCAGAACAGGAGTGCTTGTTGACAGATTTGTCTGGCAGGCAGTAGGTGATGGGTTTTCTTCAAAAGCAGAGGGGTTCTAGAGGCTTAATTCAGCTGAGGTGGCGGCTCTCTCCTTCATAAATTCAGATGATAGTATGACAAATGGCTCTTCCTTCTTTGAACATATCTCTCTTCGTGCCAAGATGGTATTTGTTTAGTATGTAAGCAGATGAGAGTGAACAGTGTCAACCTGTTACTGTAAATGTACTGTCTGTTGACTGGAAGATATTTTACAAGAGGACTGGCAGCAGATGGTGCACTATAGCTCCTTCCTTTCTTGTTTCTTACTTGTTTTGAGAAAGTTTTCTTCTCTGCACAGGCTTGGATGTTTTTAATCTTGATATCTTTAAAAGGGAGGGAAATGTATCAATAAAAAGAGAGTTAATATATATATACTGTAAATAAGTATTTTGGTCTCATATTTGTCTTATATGTTTTTATTAAATTTATTTTCCTATCAGGCAAGACTGTAAGTATTCTCCTTACACTGTCATTAGGATACAGTGCTCTTTAGAGGATACTGCATATTAGGAAATGTTGTTATAATGTATTAATCTTTCAGCATCAGGCTAGAATCCAGGAATTCTTTGAAGGTGATATGGTTTGAAAAAGCAAACAAACAATAAAAAACCCAAACAGCATATGCTGTATTTTTTGGGCTGCATTCCTTCACACGTAACAGTTGTTTAGCAAATGCTTCTTTTATTTTAACATGTCCAAAATACCTACTTCACTTCCCCACCCTCTCTTCATTGTTTCATAAATATATGTATTTCACTTTCCAGCCTGTAGAGGAAACGAAGAATAGACAGGTCTTTTAAACATCAAAAAGAAAAATTACTACAGGCAAGGCTGAATTGACGTAAATAAAATAATGCACTTTTTAATGCAGCTCATTGAACTCTTAAACTGAAAGTGTGTGTGCATAGCATTTCATACTTTTTATGCATGCATACATGTATATTTGTACACGTATACAGTGTTGGAGTGACTTAAGACTAACATTCATTATCTGATGTGGAGAGGGTTCGACTGCTTGGGCACTTCATCTTTACCTCTTTATGGAGCCTAAAGCCTTCATCACAAAACCTCAGGGAACTGTACAGTATGTCCACATGCAACTGTGCGTACAGCTGTGGGTGTGTAGACAGGTTGGGCAGGGATGGTGAGTGTTTCTGATGAGAAAATCTCAGTTTTTCCTGATGTAGAACCTAAATTATTATTTTAGACATATAAGGAGCAAGCTTTAGTCTCAAAAGTGACTGAACAGCAGGGAATAGCCTGAACATCTTAAGAAATGGCAGATACTAGAAATCTGATATAGCTGTCGTATTTTCTCATGTCTGTCCATGTTGCAGAGACCATTACAAGACCCACTGCTGTAGCACTGTACAGTCAGATGTGCACTGTAGGGAAAACCTGCCTTGTTCATGTGGCTGATAATGGTTTAAGTGGTTTATTCTTTTGTTATCAACAAGTAATTACCTGGCCGTCACTGAACTCGTGGGATCAATAGCTGCAGTGTAACAGATGGAGTTGTAAAATGTTAGTATGTGCCTAGAAATTTCTAAACACCCCCGTGCAAGTCAGATGGCACCATGGCCCCTGAGCTGCCCTGCTCCCCCCTTCTGCATAGTACACGTCCTCGTGTTTTCATGTTCTATGCTTAGCTAACTTCCCTCTGGCCCCCAGCTAGACACACATTGAATAGCAATGTGTGTCTAAATTGAGGCTCTGTGGTTTGTGAGTGAGCTAAATTTAATAGAAGAGGTGGGAGGCTAATTGGTCTGAGCTAGCTGACTTTTCACATGGAGGGAATGAGTCTCGATACTTCTCATTGCTACATCAGCTTGCAAAGATGTACCGTCTGACTGGGGGAGGAGTGTTTTGTAGGTTCTAGTAGGATTTATATGGACACCCCCCCCTTACTTACTCCACCCCCTGAGTTAAGCATCCTTTCCTCAAAAAAAAAAAAAAAGGAGGAATGTAACTCTTCAGATATATTTTAATGTGTAAATATATCCAGATTTATTATCTTTACATTTGTGCTAGGGTTCAGCTTGTCAAAGGTAGCTTGCTGAAGCTGTTGAACTAACTGAAGTCAGCTAGGACTGCATACATATAGGTGTATGTAAGATTACTGTAATTATCCTGTGCCTACCTGGTGTATACACGCTATATGTATGTAGGGTGGTTGGTGCTCTGCTGTTAAGAGGCAAGCGGGAGGGATGAACTCTATCAGCAGCATGGCTTGGACTCTTCAGACCTCCAGGAGGAGCTCTGGATTCAGCGTACAGCAGTAACACCAACGGCTCAGAAGGCTGTTTCACACGGGATCTGGTTTCAGTCTTATTCCTTGTGCTGGAGGGAAAAGGGCCTGCTTGGAAGTGCTGCTCAAAAAAAGGGGGGGAACCCTCTGACTTTCCCCCAAATCCACACTTTTTCAAAGCTAAAATGTGCTTCTAAATACTAATCCACCTTTTCAGCTGCTTTTCTGGCCTCTGTTCTACCTTCCCCACAAGCTGCTCTGTAGCTACCTTGGCACACAGCTTGGTTCCTGCTCTGGACTTGCAAACATGCAGTTCAGTAGGACCTCAGAAGCAAACCTTCATGAAGAAGTTTATCAGTCCTCTCTTTACACACTCACTCCATGACAAATTGGAGCATTAAATCAGTTAAACATTAAATCAGTTAAAGGTACCCATTTTGGAAGAGAAGTTCAGCCCAGCATGATGAAGGGGCTCAACCTCTTTAATGCTGGTTCAGCAAATTGTGCTTGGCAGTGACCAGCTGCAAGCTGGGTGTCATCACGACAAGCTCAAGACACTGAGCTGCGAAGACGGATTTCTCAGTCAAGCCTGTGTCTCTCAGCCCTTGCTAGGGTTCAGTGCATGTCTGTAGTTGTATGGTAATGCCAGTGCTGCATTGGGTTAAGGGGGGAACACATAGGACATGTCTATAGGAAGGTATTGCAACTGTTGGTTTTGAGGCTGCTGAGGAGGTTCAGGTGTAGAACGAATCACTACTTTTATTGAGGATTTGGAGCTTAAAAGGTAATTTTACCATGATGGAAAGGAAGGAAACTTGGTCTGAGCTGACATGGTCCGCAGATCGGCCCCATTTCAGGACTGGCTACATAGAGCTGAACTGGATTTGGGCCCTCTGCCCAATAAGGAGCAAACTCCTTA